GTTTTGTTGAACTTGCTAGAACTTATTTCTGAGGAGATGTGTACGATTGCACCGTTAAGCTCCTTTGAGCTTTTTGGAGGATGAGAGGGGCATGAGTGCAATATACAAGTGTAACCAGAGTGAATGTGTTTGCACAGCATGAACAGAACACCTGTTAGGTGCTGGCTAAAGTCTCAGGAATTACTGAATTTCCCTGGGTTTCTAGGTAGGGAGATAAATATTAGGGCAAGCAGTGCTGGAGGAAGGGAATGTCTGATTTTACCGTGCTTGGTGGCTTTAATACCTAGATATCCATTTCCTCTCTACTGGCATTGTTTATATACTGTATGTTTATATAGGTGTTTATATACTGTATGTATTGCACACACAATACTTATTTAAGAGGTAGTGTAAGAAATTAATTTTTATCTCAGTCTCATACACATACACACAAACACAATAATTCATGTCTTGCAATATCACAAGAATCTACCTCATGAAAACACAAGGATCTATGCTATTGTCTCATGTTTTAGCCCTGATATCTGAGGGAATTGGAAGATGGCAGTCCTGCTTGAGGGTAAGTAGAGTTTCTGTGTGCTGATTCAGTCAGTAGGCAAAATGCAGGTGATAGGATGCAGCATTCTGTAAATAGGCAACTATTGCCATCCATGGCAGTTATTTTCTACTTATGGTTAGTGAGTTAACACATAATCTGCTATATTTTCCTGATCATAGAGCCATGTATGTTCATGCTGAAAGACTGAAAGTAGGCATGCATGATGTTTAGATGAGAATTGTGGTGCTAGTCATGGATTTGTCAAAGTTCTATCCCAAGATGTTGTCACATGAGCACAGGAATTCTTTCTTGCTAATTACTTCTGCCAGTGTGTAGAGAGTGGTAATTAATTCTTCCTAAATTGGGTAGCAAGCTTTTGTAAAGCTCAGAGTCTTCCACAAGTTACGGTCAATCAAGCCTCATGGGGTAGCTTGTTTAATTACAAAAGACCATAGACTTTTAACATTAAAAATGTTATTGTCTAACTTCTTAGCCGCCTAGAGTGGTCCTCACCGACCAGATAGGCGGGGTATAAATTAA